TAATGTGGATTAATCTTGAATTGTGTTGAATTAAGGAATTGTGATGAGGATTAAGTTTAATTTCACTAGTTAATGCGATTTTACATTGATTTGTTGATGACTCTATTATTTCGACATTAAAACCATCAAATTGATTGAAATTACATTAACACATGATTATTGATCTTTGTTTGGAATTAAGGCATCCAATATGATTCTTTTGTTTCTAACTTGTTTACAATTCTTAAGTGGTGGTACTTGAACCGATGAACACCTTTGTGCATCCGTTTTTGATTGTTAAACTCAATTTCCGTTTGCATTGCTACAAGTATATGTTGTTTCCCGGAATCTGTAAACAATGTGCAAATCACTTTTAAAATTCGTTTGAGGTTTAATTGATCATATTCAGACACTTATGGATGGTTAATGTTGATTTTTAGCGTTTCCTGATGTGATTTTTTGAGTGAATTTTTGATACGGTGCAGTACTGTACGGTTTTATAAAACGCACTTGGAATTTGTTTTAATTATTGTTTAGGATTCTGTTGCATTTGTTTTGTACATTTGGTGATGATTGGTGTTGAGAATTACCGATTCCGGTTGATTTTTAGACATTTTTTGTGCATGTTTGCAATGTGGTAAGTTGCTATCCGGGAATGGTAAATGGCACTTGCACATGGATTTAATTCGCGGTGGATACTTATTTGAGCTTGTTGGTACTTTTGGTGGCTACCGGCACCATTTTCGGTCAATTTCATTCCGACTTTTCGTGCACTTTAAAATTGAGAACAATGTTGTCCAATTTTCCTTCTAACATGTACATTAAGTTTAAATATTCATATGGTGCATATTTTCACTTCATTGGTTGATTATTGGACATCGTTATTGAGTTGACTTGATTTCGGTGTGTTTTCTGGATTAATTTATGATATGTACATAATGCTGCCCCGTTTTGTAACTTGCACTTGGAATACATTTTAATTGTTAGTTTATGCATCATTATACTTTGCATTGGTCTTTGTTAGACATTTGCATCGAGTTGTATTAATTTCAACTGACATTTTGTATGTTTCATTTTATGATGTACATGCTGCCCGGAGTTTGATTTTGCGCTTCCGTTACTTGTTTGTTTTCGCTTCATGGATGATAATATGCCATTTTGAGTTGTGGTGTCGACTGTTGAGTTACATTTAATATTCATTGTTATTTTCTATCTCTTCTTGTGACATTGTGCAAGTTTCATAAGGCGATTTACCGTGATGCATTTTGCTCGAATTTTATCTTTTGCTTGTGTAGCATTGCTTGGTGCAGGACATTAGCTGGATGCATGCATAGCTTGCGATTTATTTTCGCATTATGATATTGAATGATTGTATTGGATATTGTATCTGATTTGATTTGTTGATGCTAGCTCACTCGAAGACCATCGGGTTTCTTGACTTGTATTTACTAAAAAACAGACTCTTATCCGTTTGGTATATTTCTTGTTTATTTTTACGCATTTTTTTACTGCTTTTCTGATGCCATGAGAAGTAAGACTAGAGATGCATGTTCTGGAAGTCCTTGCATTAGGCGGGCAATTCAGTTTAAAAGACCTTTAGAAGGCAATTCCTATGTGCACTTGTTTGTTTACAGTTTGGTTTGTTTATATTTGTGCCAAAGACCTCGATGAAGGCATCCCATTCCAATTCCCTATTGATAAGTCCTCAAAAGGAGGCATAGGCGAAAGAGGATCCACAATCAACCCCGCCATTTCCAGTCCCCTGGTCGTTTGTAGCTCATGCAGTACGTTTATGATATGAACCATACTGCTCATGTTATCAAGTCGGTTAGATGGAAAAGGGATTCATAATCAATCCCCCACACTTTGTCTTTAGCACGCGTTTGTGAAATGTTGACACTTTGATATGATCTCATTATTGCCTTCTATCTCCTATCTCGATTCTTGATATCTTGGTCAGGTGTTTAGTCGCTTATGATGATTCACTTCCATTCTTCTCTTGCCTCGATTATTTGATATCTTGGTTAAGAGTTGACCCCTCTTTCTTTCTTGCCTTGATGATTTGGTATCACAGTTAAGAACCATTATTCCCCCATTTCGCTTGCCTCGACGATTCGATGTCTTGGCTAAGCATCCCTTTATCCTACCTTGATGATTCGATATCATGGTTAGGTATCTCACTTCCTTTGTCCTACCTCAATGATACGATGTCGTGGTTATGTATCCCTCTCCTTATCCTACCTTGGTGCCATGATACCTAGGTTATGCGTGTGCTAATTAAGTGAGTGGATATTCCTCAAGCTTTGTTTGTTTGTTTTGGTTTAGACTTTGTGTAATCGCACTTGTGTGTGTGTTTCTTTAGGTTGTAACCTTTGTATGTTCACTCAGGATACACTTGTTTTGTTTCCAATGCAAGTTAGACATTAGGATTGTAATCCATGCATGCTAACATAGGTAGAGATTTCCCTTTCAAACTCAACTATAGGATCAACCATTGCATGATAAGATTAGGTCTAGAGCTAGATAGTTTTTGTTAGATGTTTTCTTTTCTTTTTGCATCCTTAAAACTAAAACTCTTTTCTTTGGCAAACTCATAAAACACTAAAATCATTCTAAACCCTTTTTCAAGGTAAAAAACACCAACCAATTCAAACTTCATTTTGTCGTTTGACTTTTCTTTTAAAACCCTTTTTCAAGGTTAAAAACATGCAACAAACAAACACTTTTGAGACGAACTATGGCGCTCTGATTCCTTAAAAGGGATACGTAGGCATTTGGTCGCGGGGCCCAGACGAGTAAAACTTTGTAAATATTTCCTTCTTTTCCCCGTGTTTTCTTTTGTATGCATTCCATCTTTGCATTTTTCTTTTAGCTCTTTAGCCTTAGATTTGAACACACCCATTAGATTATAATAACAAGAGTGGATCCCATGGAGTACCACGAACGTGAGGGGTGCTAATACCTTCCCCTTGCATAATCGAATCCCTTACTCGTATCTCTTAGTTGTTTGACCTTGATTTCACCCTTATCGGGTTTAGTCGATGTTTACCTTTCCCCTCCCATGGGATAAAAAACGTTCGATGGCGACTTCATATATTCCATCTCGATGATTGTTGTACCCCAAAATTTGCCCTCTCATTTTATCAAGATTTCCCCCTCACAAGACTCTTTGAACTCCAGACAGGATTAGGGTTTGCTCTGCTCAAGATATCTCCTTACACTGATGACCTGCAATTAGGGTTTAAGTTTGCACATGATTTTTTGGGCTTCCAATGCTCAAAGTGACTTTCATACTTCATGTTGGACTTATAAGATTGCCCATACCAAGTTTCAAGCTTTGAATCAAATTTTTGCCCAGTCAATTGCACAGTTGACCTAGAAATCAGCTGTATTGGGGAAAAAGTCAATTGCGGCCAATTTACAGTCAAACCTCATAGTTTTTGATCCACATCAATATTAAAGACTCATATGAACCATTTGATCAAGTTTGGACCACAACTCCTCAAGAAATTTGATCAGATCATCAAAAGGGAAAAATGGTCATTTTTAGGGTTTGGACTGTATAAGGGAAATTTCTGATTTTTCACCTAGCCAATGGCAAATTGGGTTCAAGTATGGATTCAAGGACTCAATGGCATCATATTGACCTATTCACAAGGTTCAAAAGATCTCAAATACATTAGATTGACAGATGAATTTTCCAGTCAACTGATCAAAAATCAACTATACACTGAAAAGTCAAACTTTGACTTTTTGGTCAAAATCAAGTGCCAAGTGTTGTACCCCAATTTTTGACCTAAGATCCCATTTTTATTTTTTGCATAAGTCAAGGTCACGAAATACGGTCGGTTTTAACGTCTCACCTTCGAGCTTTGACTATGCGAAGATTGTCAAGTGTTTTGAACATTTTTAGCATATGTATCACTAATTTCTAATCGCATACAAAGGTGTATGTTCATGTTTTCTTTTGTGTCATGTGCAGAGACAGGTCTGAGAATCAGGTGTCGCGCCTCAATTAAGGTTTTGAGTCTCCCAAGCCAAAAGTACGGTTGATTATGGATTCTCGAAGACTGATTCATCAAGGCACAACTGTCGCACCCCATTTTTCGCCCCTTCACTTTTTTCGACTGGTGCATATTTTGTCGTTAATTTGAAAAATCGATCATTCGCATACTTTCTTGTTTTTATTCATCATTCTAATTTCTATTTAAAGAAAAAAAAGAATTAAAATAGTTTATCATTTGCATTTTTCTATCATATTTCCAATGAATTTGTTTTAGTTCAAAAATCTGTCTTATTATTATTTTTTTCTTCTTATTTTAATCTATTTCTATTTCTTTTAGATACTACTAACTATTTTCTCTTTTTCTCATTATTGTTATTATTATTAGTATCTTTATTGCATTTTAATTATTTCATCTTTTATTGTTACTAATTATTTTTATTTTGTTCTCATTATTGTTATTATCATTGTTGCATTTTATTATTCTTATTTTATTTATTGTTACTAATACGTTTTTTTCTTTTTCTTATATTATTGTTACTATTATGTTATTATTTGTTTGTTTTTGTCAAAAATAGAGAAAGAAAATTACAAAGTAATTCCATTACAATATCATTCACTACTCTTCAAAGTGTAGATTTCAAGTGCCTAAAATACAAAGTCTCAAGATCTAACTATTCATCATCCATTATTCAAGCCATTCAACTTTCAAGACAATGTTCAAAATTCAAATGTCAAGTTCAAATGCCATTCAAGGTTGTGAATGTTTTTCAAGAGAGGTTCAAATACAAGGGACCAAAGTTCCATCCAATTTAGAATGCTTACAATTTGGAATTATGGAAATTTTGAATTCAAATATAACAAGTTACAAATTCTAGACCATGCTTCGCCAAAAGTTTTCATTTCATTCAAATACTCAATGTCATAATCAAAGTAACAAATTCAATCATCAAATGATCAAATACTTCATTTCAAAACTACCAAGTCCTATTTCTAAATGACATCAAGCTCCCAAAACTCATCCAAATCTTGCTTCAATTTTCACCCAAATTTCTCCACTAAAACAAAAAAAGCATATGAAGACAAAATCAGTCCAATTTCAAAAGAAAAAGAGAGGCAAGATACATGTATTGTTACATGGGAAAATCATAAAAAACACAAAATAGAAAGGGACCTTTCCATGATACTACACTCCAAATTATGCTGTTGCAATATGCCAAAAAACCAGTCCCTGCTATGCTGTCCAATTGTACCCCAATCCTGTCCCAAACTTGCTGCTACTTCACTCCAAAACCTGCATAAAAACCAGTCTGCAAACAACCTTTTTACTATTTTTGCTGTCCAAAAAGCTTGCCCGAAATGAAACCACAAATCCCTGCATCCAGAAAGCATAAGGAAGTTTACATAAACTAGAATTCAACTGATATTTGGCTCCAATTTTCCCTCCAATTCTATCATACATTCACTATAAAAACAGAAGCAAATGGTGAAGAGTTGAGAGCAGGTTGTCACCTAATTCCTGCAATAGCAGTAGGAGAAAATTAACAGAAAAATATTACCCAAAAATTACTACTAGCTAGTTGTTCAAGCACTCAAAATTCCACAGAGAAAAACATACCAGAAATTGGTTTTCATACCTCTAAACACTCTTCATTCTCAATATAAAAATCTTCATTAAGCTCTGCATAAATTCCAAACTTTTTTTATTAAAAGTTCCATCAAACTACAATCACAATATACAGAAATTACTCCATAAACTCGTAGCTATCAGCAATTTCCAGACCAGAAACTTGATTCAAAAAGAAAAGAGAAGAAGAAAATCAACACTTATTTCCCAGAATTTCAGAGGCAACATGAAAAGAGAAAAGTTGCAGCTTACCATTGTCGACGTTGAAACCATCTGACCCATCTCCAATCACAGCTCTGTACGCCTCCCTACTCATCGATCACTACGGCAGCCGCGTACCGATCTCGGTCGCACACCTTGAAACTGCCAACCTCCCTCCACTACGAGTACAGATCCTCCGTGGAGACAACCGCCGATGCCATCAACACCAGCCGCGAATCCATCGCGATGCTCTCAAACTCCGACAACACCCCTCTTCGACACCGCCCTCCGACAACCATCGTCCTCCGCCTCCTCCGCCAACCGTTGGTCATCACCGTTTTCGATCGGGTATTTTCTCTCTGATACTTTGATGTTTGATTGATTATCTATTTGGGTTTTTTTTTTATATCTTGAAATTGGAAAGTGGTGATTTAAAGAAGAAGATTGAACTTGTAAAGAGAATAGGGTTTGGTTTGATCTATGCATATTTAGATGCAAATCATGCGATAGAGAGAGAGATTAAGAGGAAGTTTTGAGTCACAGTACTATTGTTTGCCTCTTATTGGAAATTGTTTATTAGTTTAATTGCCTTGAAAAATTCAAGCTTGGCTTTTAATTCATTTGTTTGTTTTATTGTATAATTCTTATATGTAGATTGGGTTTTGCTAAAAAAAAAATATAAAAAAAATATTAGTAAATCTTATATTTAGATTCACTTTAGTATTAATTTAGATTTTTTTTTAATTAGTTTAGATGTATTTTATAACTTTAAAATATTTAGAATCATAATTAATAACTTTAGAATTTTATGTGTTGTAGTAACAATCACTATTTTATTTCATTTAGTTTTGACTTAGTAAATTTTAGAGTTTTATTTGTTTTAGTTTTGACTTAGTAAACTTTAGAATTTTATTTTAGTTTTAATTTAGTAAACCTTAGAATTTTATTTGATTTTATTTAAGTTAACTTTAGAATTTTAGTTGTTAGTTTTAGTTTAGGGACTTTAGAACTTTATTCGATTTAGAATTAGTTTAATAAGTTTAGAATTTTAGTTGTTTAGAATTAGTTTAATATTCTTTTAGAATTTTATTTGATTTAGATTTAGTTTAGTAACTTTGGAACTTTTTTGTTTTAGATTAGCAACCTTGGAATTTTTATTTAGTTTAGATTTAATTTACTAATTTTAAAATGTTTAATTTATCTTAGATTTAATTTAGTAATTTTAGAACTATTTTTGCAACCTTAGAATTTGTAGTTAGTTTAGAATTTTTTAGTAAGTAATCTTAAATTTTTAATATAGTTTAAATAACTTCTTTAGATAATTAGTTACATTCTCTTTTATTCTATTTAAATATCTTTGTCATTTTAATTTCTCGATGCTTTAGGTCATTAATCTGTTTCGTTATATTTATTTTCTTGTGAATTTTGATTGCTTATATTTTGATGTCTATTTTATTTTGCTCACTCGATTTAATCCAAGGGAAATGTTTTAACTTTGTTGACTTCATGTCATCACATACATCTTCTATAATCGTGCGAATACCCCCATTCATTCTTTTCTTATTTACTATTTTTCCAAACTTAAGTCGATTTTCCTAAAAGATTCAAATTTCAAACTCACACCTTTTTAAGTCAAAACTTCGACACTAGGTCGTCATATATTCAAAATCTCGTCCATACCCATCTTTTAGCCAAACGAATCATTTTAATCAAACAAACAATTTTAAACCAAAAAATAGATATTTCAAAAGGTTCCTGTGGAGTACCGCAGATGCATTGGGTGCTAATACCTTCCCATTGTATAACCAACCCCTGAACTCTCGATCTCTTTTCAAAACGCATTGTATTTTCATTACTTTTAAGTATTATTATACCTTGCATATTTTAGGGTTTTATTTCGCTCTTTTCCCTTTTCCCTTGGAAATAATAAAGCGCGGTGGCGACTCTTGCTTTTTGTGAGTCAAGTTAATTAAATAGCTTGATCTCCGATTTTCACCGCTACAGAATTGGCGACTCTGCTGGGGAATAAATTGACCTCTTGTTGGTCCATCCCTTATTGGGTTAAGCCTAATTTGTTTTATCTGTTTTATCATTATTTGATTGTTTGATTATATGTGTATATTATGATTATTTGGGCGTTGATAATATTTACAAAGGACAAGTCTTATACCCGGACTAAGTTACACTTAGGAATAGGACGGGCGGTATAGTCATGTTAACTTTGAGGGAGTAATCCCGAAGAAGGAGGCATGAGATCCCCCACTCAGTGGAAGGCCCTTTTGAACGTAATATTTGTTTACCGAGTAATCGGGAAGACATTATTATTTTCGACCTGGGAGCCAGAGAAGCTGGGAACTGTAGAACCCTAACCCATCTTGGCCTTTTAGGTGTAGCGCGGAGATTATAACGGAGTAATCCGGAAGTAATTGTTACGCGATGCTACGCTCGGATGACTCTCTCTTGAGAATATTGCTGATTATTGAGTAATCAAGACGTTGGTAATATCCGAAGGAGGAATGTAGACTCCGGGAACTCTTAGAACCTTGTTCTACAGGTGTGATTAAACCGTTAGTACATACCTTGGGGGTGTTCCTTATCTTGACTCCATGCTCGTGACGTTGAACCTTTCGACTTTATTTGTGACCTTGCTTGTGGTTGTTGCATAGCCATGCATTCATGCATCCATAAAACCCTTTTCACTTGACTTTGAAGGAATTTGGAGGTCTTTCTTTGTAAACATCACAAGTTTTGTCAAGCTCAATGGATCTTGGGTGTTGATGGGGTGAAAACCCTAATCCATCAAAATGGATGATTGATCTTGATGATAACTTGATCAATGTTTGGAGCCAATTTAAAATTCATCTTCTATCTTCATACTTCGATGTTTACAACTTAATATCTTGAGTTCCTTGAAAATCAAATAAAAACTCTCTTTTGCACATCATACATCATTCTACATTTTTTGTTTCACTTTCAAAGACCTTTTTCCGAGTCTTATTTTTCCTTTGGTCTCACCAGTACAACACTCGCGCTAAAAGGACAATGGAGAATATCAAGCAAGAGGTTTCTGAACTCTGTAGAGAGATGACTATTTTGAAAGCTAGTATGGAGCACTTAACTGGATTGGTTGAAATTCTGGTTGCCGTCCAAGTCAATCCTTCTAGAAGAGAGGAAGCGATGATAAAAGTCTTCACTGAAACTCTAAAATCATTCTCTCATGAGAAGGTGTCGGTTAATGCACCTAATGACTTTCCTGACAAGGTGAATATGGGAGTGCGTCTAGAAGAAGATGTTGGAAAGGGATGTTCATATTAAGATGGTAGCTCAGCTAATGGTGTGAAGAAGTTTGATAATAACTTTTCCAAGAAGAGAACCAGAGGAAGAAATAATCATCGTCAGAATCATCATGTTTCCCCCATTTATCGACAGAATCAGCAAGTTCCTAATCAGAGGAAAACTCAATTTGATCCAATTCCAATCACCTATACAGAGTTGTTCCCTATCCTGATGCAGAGGAATTTGGTTCAGACCCGACCTCCACCGAAGGTTCCTGAGAAGATACATTGGTACTACAAAGCTGATTTGACTTGTACCTTTCATCAAGGTGCTCCTGGGCGTGACTTGGAGGGTTGCTTTGCTTTGAATATTGAGGTTTAGAAGTTGGTCAGAAGTGGTATCTTGTCATTCAAGGACTTTGGTTTTGAAGTTCAAATCAAGCATGTGCCGAAGAGTAAACACGATTGATGGTCACTTTGAGTTTTGAAGGATGTTTTCGGTAATTCAAGTCCAGACGGAAAGCCTTCCCAGATTATTAACTTATTTATGCTTTTTGTAATTTTTCTTGTTTATCAAAACATTGTTTGCATGTAAGAGCTTGTTTGCATCTGAATGATTATCTTAATACAATGAGTATGTTTGTCTTGAAGAAATTCATTCGTTTCACTCATGTTTGTTTTCAAATTTTAAATTGCTTTTGCACTATGATACCAAATTGTTGCTCATTCTCTTGCCTAGGCAGAGATTGAAGGGAGGATGATGATCTAAAGAACACAAAATCTTTGTTTGTTTGCTTTTGGATAAAATCTTGCTGATGATGTACAGGCATTGTTTCAAATCCCTAAACACCGGAGATATAAGGAAGATAATCCCTTGCTAACCCCTTTTGAGCCTTGAAGTAGAAGTTTCTTTTCTATACGAAAAAACCTTGAATTTTAACCTGGGGCAGGGTAGTTTTTAGTTAATCTGACTGAGTGTTCGAAATTCATAAGGAAGATGTTTTTTGAAGAGAAACTACGAGGGCTATCTTTCATGTATAATGAAGCCAGAAGATGTGGAATCACAATGTTATCCCTCATTCATCAAGAAACGAGGCAATCACAATCTTCTCAACAAGCAAATGCAAGCTAATGTCACACATTTTGTTCAAAAAGTCAAAAATCGAGAAAAAAGAAAAAGCCTGTTAAGTCAAAAAACATGAAAACGTGTGACTTAGGCAAAATTAAGGCATCCCGCTGGACTATCAATTCAAAAGAATTAGTTCAGGCAAAAGTTAGGGAAAATAAAAATTGCAAAGAAAAGGACTGCAAAGAAAAGTCCTCAACAAAGAACAAATTGGTGACTACAAACACGAAGACATGAGGGTGGTTTCTACTCCGAAAGCCTCGTCGTTTTCTTGACCGTCACAAAATTCTTTTGAGAGATGAACACTCATGTTGAATTAACTGAACATAGGGATGGAGAACATCATGAAGAATGGATGGGCACCAAATATTTTGAGCCTTAAAAATCTTTTTTCTAAAAACCATGAACCAGGCCACGTTACAACCTTCAAAAGTCCTAATTGAAGCAAGGTTATTTTGAAAGCATACTTCCATGAGATAGTGTTCCTGACTCCCATGAATGTTCTAAATAGTTATGTTGGTATCATATGTTTTTCCTATACAAAAATAAATGGTGCTTTAACTCACAAAATTTGTGCGATATCTTTCAAAATCTTCAAGACTTACATAACTGTTGCATTAGAATTTTCATTCTCATTGTAAACTTTTTCTAACTGCAAAACATTTGTTTGATATCAAGGAAGCTCACATAAGCACCAGTGATGAGTTTATTCTT